ATTTATTTCTCAAGATATTGCAAGAAATATATCTCTAATATATTTCTTGCAATATCTTGCTAGGGCACTTTATTTTCTTTATTTTGATTTTTTTGATTTTTTTTATTTTGATTTTTTTTTATTATTGTAAAAAAAGATATATTAAAGAAAGAAAAGTTGTAAAAACTGAAATTTCGACAAAAAAATTTTCTAGCCTGTTTTTTGGGGTACTACCACCTTAACTAATGCTTTATATTATTAGGATTCTGTTTATTAATAAACTTAACATACTTTTGTGACACTAGCATGAAAAAGTTTTGATTAAATAAAGTTAAAACATAAATATATTTTCAGAACTATTTGTAATATTTACAAGGTTTTTTCCGTTAAAAATGGTAACAGCTTTTTTTAAATGTTCAGAAAAGGAGCTGTTACTTTTCAAAAATTTGAATCTATTCCAAGATTCATTAACAAAGACGTAATGAATTGGATCAACAGCTTGTTCAAAGTAGCAACCTAATTCACGCCCTCTTTCTCCACAAAAAGAACCTATATGTTTTAAGATAAAATAAATTTTCAATGAAACCGTTATTCCATAATCTTCAACTAGTGTTCTGTAGTGATTTTAAAAGTTTTTATTATGTGTTTTATTATGTCCAAAACAAGACTCAACCAAATTGTTTAAAATTCTAAGCCCTTCTGCCATTGGTTTTAAGTTAATAAGAAATGCACGCATGTACTTATAATCATTTTTAAGGATTTTACGGAAGGCGTTGCCGTTAAAAGCATTGTTCTGGACCTCTTTTAAAATTTATATCTTATATTTATATCTTCTAATTGTCTTTTTTCTCAATCTACTGGTTTTCAGCTTTTCTTCTATGTATATTCTTCTCGCCATCATCATCATCATCATCATCATCATCATCATCATCAGTATATGGTTCTCTGTTCGTTATTGCAACAAGGTCATCGGCTCACAGGATTTTAGATTATTGCCGTGCCGATGAGTATTTTTTAAATTTTTTTTCAGTATTACCAATAAGAAAGATCTAAACTTTTTAGATATGTTATTTTTGAAAAAAAATTTTGAGCAAAAACTTTAAATATAAGAGCCGTTATAAAAAATGCGTTGCATTACCGAATGCATCGAAAAAGAGGGTTTATGCATGGGGATCATAAAAATGACATTCGGGTATGTTTTTTTTATTCATTTTCTTCAAATCAAGCTATAAACTAAAGAAATCCACATTTCTAAATTTTGACATTTTTCATATCATCGTGGCGTTTTTATGTTTCTGAGTTCAAGTAAACTTTATATAATATATCAGTTAACAAAATCTCGTACTTGGATTTTCAAAAAAAAACGTTTAACAAAATTTTTTTTATATACATTTTTAAGAAAATTTTTTCTGCTGGATATAATATTTACTAAATCGAATGTCTAAAAAGTATAAACTTTGCTTTTAAAACGAAAAAGATTTTTTCGAAATTTGGTTTTAACTGTGAGGTGTTGCATTACCGAAACTACTCAGGTTGCATTACCGAACTTTCTGGTTTTCGCTTTTAAATGAATTTGAAAGGTCTATTTTGCAATCATTTTTAAGTTACTATTTTAAGATAAAACTTATTTACTCTTTTTTATCCAAAAAATAAAATCGATGCAAATAATAATTGTAAAATCGAACGGAAATTATTCAAAGTCTCAGAGGCATGTTATAGGACTTTCAGGGAAAGAAACGGACAATCAATTAAAACAGGGGAAATTTTTTATTACAGAATATAAAACTATATATTGAACGTTTATGTAAATAAATTTTAAATAAATAAATAAAGCTTTTAATACAACGTAGTTATAATTAACAAATGCGCTCATTTTGAATACACAAATAACACTATTTTTGATTATTTTAAAATAAAAACTTTACAACAATCTTCTGACATCTTTCTTTAAATCAAAGTAATAAATTTTTCAAGTATTTTTAAACTAATTTTGACTTTATGAAAAAAACATATACAGCAAATTGTTGTTTTAAACAATCTTCCCAGCAAAAATTTTACAGCGGAATTTTAGTAGACTTTTATAGGCATTTTAAGTGTTTCCCGCTTTTTTTCCACTGTAAAAAGGCTCATTGGTTACATAGTGGACCACAATTGGCAGTCGCCATAATGGCTAGCCAACAACTAGCTTTTATATTACATGTTGAAGAGTTATTGGCTAGCCACTTTTAGCGAATCCCTTAAGAAACCTATAAGCAAAACTCTAATTAACTGCTCAAAATGCTTATATAGGTCCATTGCAAATCCACATTAAAATAATTGCTGGGTTAATAAAAATATAATTGGGTATCATTTTTACAGATTTTTATAAAAACACAGTTATTCATAGTTTGTTCATATATAAAAGTTTAAAAGTGTTTCATTAATTAAGTTCATAGCCTCAACCAGAGAGACTGATACTATCCTATTTAGTAAAATAGTGGGTTTTGATCACTGTTTTATTACTTTTTATAAAAAAATTGTATATACCAATTGAAAAAAAAATCATAATTTTTATCATTAAGTACATATCTTATTTAAGTTAATTGATCATAAGTTTGAGAATCATAGTTTTTTGCATAGATGCTTTAAATGCAAAGGAAAATTACCATTTTAATGTGGTCTTGTCGACGACACCCTCTAACACAAATTTTTGAAAACTTTACTTTGCAGCAACTTTATTGATTATCACTAAATTTTAAAAAATCCTGATGACATTTTGTTATTGCAAAATTTAAATAAATTAAACAGAAGAGAATGGACACTAGATTTTGTAAGGTACAAACTTATAAAGGAATAAACACACCATTACATCAAAAAAAAAAGTTAACTTAATCTTTGATCAATTCGATGCAGAACTTCTTAGTCTAGCAAAAAGAAACAATTTTAACAATTTGTATGCTATAAAAAAAGTTGTTTAGGCGGTTTAGTTTCGTTGTACAGATTTTGACGACAAGGAATGTCAACACCGTATTTTCCCAAGAGAAACTGAGAATTAGTGCAAATATCATTTATATCGCTTCAGTCTTCAACATTTTGAAACCAACTGTTACTGATTTATCTTTAGATGATTTACTAAAACACCAACGAGACACTGAACCAGATTATTTGGAGACGCTGCCCAAAACGTATTTTTGTGAGTAGAGGGGTCATTGAGTCTGCAGTTAATTCGTCTGAGATTGAATTTTATGAAGGTCCTAATGGAATTTTATTTGTACTTAATAAACTTTAACTACCAGGATATGTAACGTCTTTGAAACTTAATGATAAATATAAAGAAGCTATCAAACGGTCTTTTCAAAAGTCCACTGAACGTGTTAAAAAGAGAGAAAAATAGCTAAAAACAATTAAAAAGGCTTAGTTAGATAAAGATGATAAAGAAAGACTTAGTTAGACAAAGGTAATAAAGAAATTGATAAAGAAAAAACTCAAAATATATTTCTGGAAGGTTTTAATATGTTTATATGAACTTTTTATTATGGTTTTATTCTTTTGTTTTATATATTTGTCGTTTCCTCAAAACTAAGTTTTGCCTCGAATACAAATCTTTAAAATATGATTATCTTTAAACTCGTTTAAGCTTTGATCTAACTTTTTTTTGCGATTTTTTACATAATTAAAAAGGATTCGGTTGATTGAAGGATATTTAAAACAAAATAAGGGAAGTACTTTTTTATGAGAAAAAATGCTGGACGAATGTTCAGCAATTTTTTCTGTTTGTTTTAAATTTTGTAACCTTTTATATATTATAAATAGTAAAAAATGCTTCACTTATCTGGATTAATATACCTCATTAGTATATAAACCAATTTTCAGCTTGATATGATAAATATTTTGATCACAAAAATTGCTAGTTTTTTCACTCTTATTTTAAATAACTGGGTAATCGAGTCATTATTTTTAAGTTGATTCTTTAAAATAGTTTAAAGAACAAGATTTTTAATGAAAAATATAAATCAAAAATCTTTTTCTATCAAAAGTTTGCCTTTGCTGTGAAGGACCACCTTAAGCTTAAGAAAAAATTTAAAATTTATTTAAAATCCATACTTCAAAACAACAATTTTTACTATGTAAAATAAAAGCTGTTTATTTACAGTTTTAACAATTGAATAATGTTATTTAGAATTGAGTATTATTATTTGGAAAAAGTGCCTTAAAAGTGTAATTGTGTCAAAGAAGGTATTAGAGCTAAGTGTATTTTTATCCAAAAATAAATTCAATAATGGATTTATTAGAATGGAATTTTTTTTTGGGCACGCTATATAATTTTGACCTACAAGACCCAGTTTAAACAGGGTTAAGTTGTACTAGAAATAAGATTATTTATTTAGTGATCTTATCATCTTGAGACGAACGTTTTTTGTTTTTATAAAAGTTGATGCGCTTTTCTTTATACATTAAACATTAAAACGGCGCTATCTAGAATTTTTTTTTTTTTTATTTTAATTCACCTCCTCAAGGCCGAGAAGGCCACTACAGACAAGGAGGCTACTTATTTGTGGTTATAACCCTCTCTCAACTCTATAACTCCGAAACACGAACCTTGACGAGCAAGGCCGCTGCGCGGAGAAACGAGTTAAGCGCGGTACTACCAGGGACGTGGTGGGGATCGAACTCGGAACCACTCGTTTATGAAGCGAGCGCTCTACCACTACACCACTACCGCATGAAATTCAAATTCAAATAGATTACAAAATATTTATGCACTTTCAACGGCCATCTCACCAAGTCTAAAAAATTAAAAGAATATCCATAGTTTTTATAGATAGGGAAAGACAAAGCAAGATATCAAACGTTTTAAAAATTTTGGGTTATTGCAAATTATAGACCAATGAAGCAGTAATATTTTGTCAGTATCCTTGTTTTATCATAATGATTCATTGCTTCCATAAGTTTTAAGTTTGCAATTAAAATAATTGGCTATTAGTCATCGGAGCACGATAATAGAGCAAAATAAATTTGCGTAAAAAAAAACAACTACAAAATTACACCCATAAAATACCACACATTGGCATTTACCCTAAAACAATTTTATCTTTTAAGCGTGAAAAATAAAAACTTACGAGTGTATAAATACTTGAACAATATTTAAAAAAAAAAAAAAAACTTGGATTTTAAAACACAAGCTATATATACAGATTTGTTTCCACTCAATTTTAAATTTTAGACCCATTTCGTCATACTCTTTTTTTTTTTCAAAACTATTTGTTGTTTAACTGACAGATTTTTAACGGTACCATACCTAATGATACGAAGCATATTACGAGAATCTTTTGTATGCTTCCAAGTAAATTTAATTTAGTCTTCCTTTTAAAATTCCTGGACCTAATAATAGAGCAATTTTTTAAAATGTATATATATATATATATATATATATATATATATATATATATATATATATATATATATATATATATATATATATATATATATATGCATGTATATATAAATATCTCCTTTAAAAAACATAATTTTAAATGCAAATAACATTCAACTTAAAGCTGACAATCCTTCAATTGTAGATTGCATGAGAAATTTCAATTTAATATTTTGATAAGTTTTAATAGTTCGTTACACTTAATTGAATTTTTTATATTGTAAAAAAAATTCAATTAAAAAAATCAACCAACTTTGTTTTAAATCAGTAATCTAACTAATATATAACAAACTTTTTTAAACTAGTATATACAATTAAATGCATGCAAATGCAAGTTAATAAACTTTTTCAATAGTAACATATTTACAATATTTATAAACTCAAAACACATTTTTTTTTTGATTAAATCTTCAGGGTTTTGTCACAACCTTTTAGGTCTAAATTTAGTCTAATCTTGGAATCTAGAGTCTGTTGTTGTAAGTTGATGAAGCTTTTTAAATTTTTCATATATGACTTTATTGCTGGAACAAACACTAAATGTGAAGATATATTTAATACAATACATACATAAGTTTAGTAAAATACAATACATACATAAGTTTAGTAAAATGCTATAAAAGTTTAGTAAACTTGTATAAATATATACAAGTTTATGCATTTTATATATATATATATATATATATATATATATATATATATATATATATATATATATATATATATATATACACACCAGGGATGCAGAGTCCTAAAAGGGCTCCTATGAAACAAAAAGTCCTTCAAAAGGACTCTTGCTTTTAAGCGTGAAGTCCTGGAGTCTATGCCACCTTTATACCTTGGACTTTGAGTTCAAAAATTATTGTTCTACTAATGTATAAGTCTTGATTTTTTTCCCCATTAGTAGCCCTTAGGCCTTTTTATATCTTTAAAGCTACTGGATACCAAAAACTAGAAAGAAGTAATCTTTTTGTGTCCTTTAACTCCGCTGTCCTTTTTCGGGATTTTGCATCCATGATATATAGATAAATTTTTCATATAATATATGAAAAATTTATATATATAAATAATGAATTTATACCTAAATATTATGAATATTAATTAAATACAAATTATGACTATTATATACATAAAAATATATATGCAATAAGAGCAAAACTAACAATAAAACCTCATGATATCTTTGTACAAATATACAGGATCAAATTGATATAGTTTTTAAAACCACGAAAATTAGTTTGTGTTGTAATTGTTGAAGATGATTGATTTTTAAACTTTAAATGTTGTTTTGATAACAAATCTTCAATGTCTGAATCAAAGCATTAATAAATTACATGCCATTTTTAGAAAAATTTAAATAAGCACTTTTAAATTTTTCTGAGAAATGACACATTTTAATTGTATTCAAATGCGCATTTTTACACATGATGTAATATTGAGTGAGATATTATTGAAAGGTATGCTGTTGTAAGGCTTCAGATGTTGATCTCAATAGAGTGAGGTATTTTAAAAGTATGATCCAGAAGCTTAAAAACATCTAAAAACAAATAGATTTATAAGTAACTTTAAAAATTTGAACTCTATAACAATCACAGAACATTAAAAAGTACTTTAAAGAGCACAATTTAGTTTTTTTATTTTCCCCAGGATAAAAAACTCAATTATCTCTTTATTTCAAGTTTTTTTTTTAACCTTTGCATAGTACATTTTGTTTGATTGTGCGAATTTTCACTACAATAAAATTATAGTTGCTGTAAGTATCGTAATTTTAACTAACTTTTAGGACAAGTCTAAAAACTAATTAATAATTTAAAAGCTAGGTAAAATAATCGGGTTTTCCATGAATTTCTAAAATTAAAGAATAGAAAAAGCAAAAATTAAAGTATAGTGAATATTATAATATATAAGCAAAAATTAAAGTATAGTGAATATAAAAAACTAGTGAATTTCTTTGATTTTAAAGTGGAATTGAATAGGGATTGTCCATAAATTATGCAACGCTAAATTTCACTAATAAACAAAACATAAGAGATCAAAAGTTTTTTTCTAAAAGTTTTGTCATGTAAAAGAATTAAATATTATCTACTTCTTTTTTTAAAATAAACTTTGCATTGCAAAATATATAGACAATTCCTAATTGAATGTTTAAACATTTGTGAAAGCAACTTTCAAAAAGATATGAAATATGTTACAAGAATAACGACATTTATCTTCTTCATCAGGTTTTAAAAGTTCCTCTTGAAATTATATTATAAAGAAAAAAATAAAGTTGCTTTAACATTCGAAACTTAACTGAACTGCACATTTGTTTGAAATTAATTCAGCGGCCAGGAAGATGTTTGAGAAACTTTAATAATTTTTAAACTAACTTTAATAGATAGTTTTGATTAAACTTGCCAAATAAAATAGTAACATTTAAACTAAACTATTATAAATATGGTAAAAATATTGAATGTCTTTTAATTTTAAAATAAGCATCATTACCTTTTAAAGAAACTAATGTATGAGTATGATTAAAAGTTTTGGCCAGATATATTACTTAAATACACATAATAATACAAGAGAATACACATAAAAAATACACATAATAATACAAGAGAAAAATTTAATTTTTTTAAACAAAATCTTTATATTTAAGAAGTAGGCAACATAGCTGTTGTAAATATAAATTAAAATCTTTGAAATTATATGATTACAGTTTAAAAATATACCATCTATAATTTCAACACTATATTCGTAAATAAAAAAAAGAAAATTACTAAATTCTTATTTAAAAATTACTTGCAAATAACAAGTTCCGCATCTAAACTTTGTCAATAGAGTTCTTTAAAATAGCTATCTCTAGATTAAATTTTGTCTTGAGTAAAAAGGACAAAATCTAATCTAAAAATAATCTTTATGAATAAAATATTTTAATATTGTAAACAAATACTAAACAATTATAAACTTAAGAAATAAATAATAGTATATTATTAATAACATTATTATAAGCTGGTTAAATTTGTAATGTTTAAGGTGAAATTTTAAGTAGAAGTTTACTTCCATAACTTAGATTCTAGCTATCTAGTATCAGAGTGGTTTAAATGAACTTTTACTCAATTGTTGAGTAGAAATCAATATAAATTACTTTGATTCAAGCCAGCTTATACCTTTTAGGTATATCACAAATTGATTTGTAAAGTTGGATAAACTTCAAAATTGATAGTACTCAAAAATATTTGTACACTTTTTAGTTAATAGCTTTTATCGTGTAAAATTTGTAAATAAAAATTAAATAAAAAAATTTCAAAACTTTAAACACATGTATAATTATATAAGCTACTGATATATATTAGATTTCCATAAATTTACTTCTCAAAAACACAATTTTGTTTTAATATCAATTTTTTACTTCACTCACCAAACAAATTTTTGTCTGCCCAATTAACTTTGAACGAAAATTATTTTGAGCCGGCTGACGACGTAACAACTTAATAAAAAAAACAAAATTATTCAAGTTACAAAACCGAACACGGAGTTGCAATAGCGAACAAAAAAGTTGCAATAACGAACAAGAGATGCTTTACCGAACAAGCGCGTTGCGATACAGAACATTTTAGTTGCATTACCGCACATCCACATGATCATCATCATCATCATCATCATCATCATCATCATCATCATCATCATCATCATCATCATCATCATCATCATCATCATCATCATCATCATCATCATCATCATCATCATCATCATCATCATCATCATCATCGTCATCATCATCATCATCATCATCATCATCATCATCATCATCATCATCATCATCATCATCAGCTATACACAGTGTGTGATCATTTGAAAAAAATCGAATATTTACTCAAAAAATTAAAGTAGAAGTAAAATATTTATAATTATAAAATTCCAAGTTGATACGTACCTAGGAACATATTGAAATTTTGCCATAAACCTTTATTTTAAAACTCATAATATTCCCTATATACTGTCTCATCCAACGTAGACCATTTCATATCACCTTGAGAACCAAAATCAAACTATAATTTACATTTCATCTTACACCAAAAAGACTCGTGGTTTGTGATTGTCCCTGTTTCAGGCTCAACAAAGTTTGTGGTATGGTTAACAGTAAAATAAATATGGTCTAATTTTCTTGAATTATTGTCTAAAGCCTATTAATTTGATTGTATAGTTGAACCAGAAGCAATCAAAGTTTGAGTTTAAGGTACTAATGTATTCACAGTCCTATCCTCGGCGCTACTCGACTTTTTCTCTCACCCCCCCCCCCCTTTTTTATGATTGATTATGATAGAATATATTATTTTGATTCAGAACCATATAAAAACATGGGTCTGAAAACCTGAGGAAAGTACTCTAATTTGATGTTAAAGTATAAATTACCACATTAAAAACACTAATATTCCACATCTTTTTTAAAAACATTTTAACACTGTTTTCAAAAGTAAGAAGTTATTTTTTTTACTGCTCGACCCTGTTTTTATTGTCGACAAAATTTAAACATTTAAACAAAATTTCTTTAAACTTTTGAAACATATGGTAAATAAAAATTCTAATAAAATTTTAATAAACTTTATTAATTTCTATGAAAATTACTATCGAACACGTTTTTTTAAATATTAATTTATAAGGCAATTAGTAAAACTTGAAACAAAAATTTTTATAATCTCCATCATTCGGTTTTAAATGAAATGACTTAAATAAAGATTATTTTTGTTTAATACAACTATTTCTTCTTGTGCTTTAAAAAATATTTTTTAAGTTTTCTTGTTTATACTGAATTTAAGACTTTTATAAGGTCTTTTTTTGAACATCATTAGGAGTTTGCTAAGTCTGTTTGCTTCAAATAGTTTAAAAAAAATTTAAACACATCCTTAATTGGAACGTATTGTAAGTCAATAGAGCTAGAACTTTTACAAAGTGTTTAAACACATAAATTTCCTTAAAAATATGTTTTTTTTTACTCATAGTTATGTTCTCCAATTAAAAAATAAAAATAAGATTAATAATAATAATAAAAAAAAATTAAATGTTGGTAGTTCTTTTTCTTCTATTTCCTTGAGGAAGATTCTATTCTTAATTCTCTTTGCAAGAGTTAAAACAATTTCAGCACCAAGCAAAGTCTACACCTAAAAATAGCACTCAAGAACGTGATATTTTACAGGTCTAGAAATTTAAGATAAAATTAGGATTCTATAATATACCACAATTATATTAAACTAAATTATATAACATAGAAAACCTTGATTACTTTACGACATTTTTAATAAATTAAATAAATATTAAAAGATTACTTATAGTCCACAGTAGGATCTTTAGTATTTTCCCTTTAAACAAACTATTTGTTTATCTTACAGACCAGATAATTTACGAAAATATCTTTAATGCTTAAACTAATAACCGACTGACAAAAGTAAAACTAGGTTGTGTTTAGATCTGAAATCTCTTTGAAATCTGAAAAAACCTTAAATATCTTAGAAATTAACGACCTTTATTTTAAGGAATGCAAAAGTGGTACAAAAATATTTCACATTACACCCCCCACCTCCCCATTAAAAACTCCTGTATCCGTCGCTGTCTAGATCATCACACTCACTAACTAGATCAATCCCACTCACAATGATTTTGACGACTTTAATAATTTGACTTAAGTAACTTTCCAAATATTGTACTATATAAGGATAAAGGTAGTGAGCATACATATATCAATCGAATTAGGAATAGGCGCAGTAGAGTGTATATACAGCAAATGATTTAGGGATACGCGTAGTCATAGTCATAAGAATGAATACTTTTTATGACTATGGCGTAGTGAAGTAAATATACATTGATTGAGTGTTTAATTCCAGTCCATTATTTCATTGTTCGGCAAATTACCAATATCATAAAATCGTTGGGAGTGAGACATATAAACACAACCCTTTAACTATCTAGAAACATGTTCCAAAATATTTTATCCATAAGTTTTCTTAAAATTCTATAAATCTGCTAATCATTAAGATATCAATATGATTTATTTGTTTTTTTTTTGTAGATTTTTCTTTCATTTATTTAGATCTAGCAACAGCTAAAACTTGTTGTTTTTTTCAAGATTTGAATTAAATAAAATTTTGAATTCAAGTTAATACCGCTTTGGAGATATTTCCATTGTGCTACTTTATGTACTCTTTTAGCGACAAAAATAAATTAATTAGTTATTTCAGTGAGCCAATTATTTTTGATGTTTTTGAAAAAATAACAAAGATTAAGAGAATACTATTAAAAATAATGGAAAAAAATAAATAATAATAATAATAGATATAGCTGCAACTCCCCTGCATGTTCTTTCTAAATCAATTAACAAAAATAAAATTGTATAAAAACAGCATAGTAATAAATATGTTCCAATTTAAAATAATGTAGATTAGATGGTATTTTAATTGATTAACTAGGTTAATTTTTATTTTTTTTAAAATTGACTTAAAATCGTGCAACATTTAACTAAGAATCAATTATTTTCAACTCAAATGGTTTTAGGTACAAAGATATTGTTGAACAAACTTGATCTAATTTGTAACTAAATTTATATATTTAAATCATATATATCGTTAGTTAATTTTATAAAACCAAAATTTTGATTAGTTAATTTTAACATATAATAACATCTATTCTTAATCCGAAAGGTAATGAAAATAGACTTGGTAAAAACCTCTAAAAAATGATAAAATATCAAAATTAAGTAGATGTACAATACAAATGTTTTGAATCATCAAGACATTAAATTGAATCATTTTTTTATTACTATTTCCTATAATAACAATGAAAAAAAACCCAGCAGTTAACTAATAATTTGAGTAAAATAAGTTCTGAAGGTATTTTTTATTTTTTAAGTAAATATTTAAATAAATTTAAATCACTATTAAAATATACATTAAATAAAAATGAGCATAAATACCACAAATTAAAATCATAATATGACAAATTTATAATCATGGTTACATTTTTTGACTACACCTGTTTTTATTATTATTTATTATGATTAACTTCTATTATTTACTCTGAATTAAGTTTTCTATTTTTTTTTTTTTTTCATTAAATGTAAGCATTAAAAATAAATTAAATATCACTATTTTAGGTAGGCTCTAATAAAAATATTGTTTTTGTTTAGAAAAAAAATTAATTAAATATAACAAATAGATGTATAATGGGATTCCTTCTCCATGTAGATCTAACATGGAATGGAGGGTTATTTTGGAAAATGTACATAAATCACGAAGAATTCAAGATTCAGAGAAAAAATCCAGATCAGAAGAACTGGTCACAAATTACTTAATTTCCTTATTTTTTCAAAAATTTTTTTTTATGCTTGTGTTTTAATAATGTTATTATAATTTTGTGATTAGGAAATTTTAAAAGCAAAGTTAAAACATTTTCATCAAGAGGTTCACAATCTGAAATGTGAGCTTCAATCTACAAAACAAAAGCTTGAGAGTTACGAAGGTTTAGTTTCAACTGTTATTGTATTTTTAATACTTTTTTATATTGTTGCATTTTTTTGTATGTGTTTTATTTTATAGCTATTTGATTTTTATCATAATAGCATCAAAACTACCAGTGTATTAACTAGCCTTTATACAGGCCATTTCTGAAAATTTCCCAATGGTATATAATGAGGGATTTTTCCAAATGGATCGGACCTTTTTTTTACTTTTAGAGAACCTTTTTTTGAACTTTAACTCTACTCTTAGGCAAATTATTTTCCTAATTTTCCCAATTTATATCCTGGTTAACACATCAACTAATTTGACTGAAATTGTGGTATAGACACAATAAAAAAATTATTCAGTTATTTGAATCAAATTTTTTGCACATTCTGCATACAATATTGTATGCAGAATAAAAACTAGTGTGGTAATATCTTTGAATCAGGGGCGTGGAGTTGTAAAATAAAAGTATCAACTCCATCTCCAATTGTTGAAATTTCAGAGTACAACTCTGACTCCAATGCATAATTTTTGAAACATTCTTTGAATTCTTTAAAAAATATTATGCAATATTAAAAAATTTTTTTTTGTCAAATATATGAAAAATTCTTTGAAAGTTCAATATTTTGTACATGCATGTTCAATACTGAGAAGTTTTACTATTGGAGTTGAAGTTGCAATTTTGTTTACATTTATATGTATGACAAAAAAAATGTTGCAACTCCCACTCAATGATCCTGACTCCACAGCCCTGCTTTGAATAAAACTTTATTTTGTTGAATGCTGTATTAGTAAAATATCTTTATTTTGTTGGATGCTGTATTTTTAAAATGTCAGCAAGGAAATAAATAATGATTTTTTTAAGAAATATATAAATAACTAAACTAATATAAAAAGTTCTTTTGTTGTTTGGAGTGATTTTGAAATCAATGTCATTAAAAAAGTAGTATTTTTACATTTCAATTATTTGTCCTTTTGGTCCTTTTAATTTTAAAATTTTAATTGGTCTTTTTAGTAGCTTAAATAACATTTAGAATAGCCCCTCCCTAGAGAAAATCTGTAGTTGATTTAGGAGGCCAAATATACATTGGAAGTTATCAAAAACTTTCTAGAATATTCACTGTTTATAGTGACTATTCTAAACCATTTTTGATAGACTGCAGAAGTGAAAAGCTGCAAGCTGCAATGTTCTTAATTTTGTATGTGATTTTCTACTGGATTTTATTTTTGGATTTTATAAGTTTACTATATTAGTAAAATACAGATAAAATCTTGTGTGTTAATGAAAGTAATATTCAATATTAAGAATTTTTACTATCATATGGATTAAAAATTTTCATAAGGAAAGGAAATAAATAAAGTTTCATGAAAACAAACATTTTCTGCGAGTGAACAAAAATAAAGTTGTTTAAATGAAAACTGTTTTCATTTGCTCCTCACTTTTTTTAAGTTTTTTAGAGCAATTTTATTATTATTAGGTTTTAAAATCTTTTTTTAAATTTAATTTCAAACTTTTTAAAAATTTAAAACTGTTTAATTTTTCTGCTATTTTATTTGCTTTTTTTTTTTTTTTTTTTTACAAAAAACTGAAAATAGAAAAAAAAAAAACTTAAAAAGGAAAAATAGGACTATAAGTGATTTGTACAATTTTTTTATAATGGAATGTTTGAAATTTTTCTTTTTTATTTGATGTGTAACATGCATTATAAAAATTTTTTATACAAAGTTTTGTTAATTGTTTATACTATCTTTACAATCTTTTGTTGTAAAAAAAAAATATGCATTTTTTCAAATAAGTACTCAGAACAAGTGTAAAAAGTATTTTAGTATGAGTTAGCAAACCCTAAAGCTTACCAAAAGAAATAGACTGGTATCTAATAATGTAAAGTATAAAATAAGATAAAAAAATGTTTGGAATTTTACATTTATCTTAATAATTTTACTCAAGTAAAATAAGTTATTTATTTATTTTTTAGTTGTTATAGAGGATTTAAAAGCAAAAAATGAACTGAATGAAAAGAATTTTGTTATCAAGGAAAAAAATCTAAAAACAACAATTTGCAAACTAGAGTTAGATAATAGAAACCTTACAAAAAAGCAGAAACATGAACATCTTGAAGTTGAAAAAGAATACAAAAATGCCATTACTCAACTGGAAATGGAGGTTTTATATTTAGTATTTTCACTTTTGTTATTTAGTAAATCAATTTTTAGTCATAAAGGTTACATACTTAAATGGGTTATTTTTCACCACTTTACCTAATCCTAATATTGTAATAATATTATATTATTATTAAGTAATAATATTGTAATAATATTGTATAATTATTATATATTAATAAAAACACTTAATATTATTACCTTATATTAAAATAAACTATATCAACTAATGACTATCATCATGTCAAAATCTTATATATATTTTATGTAAAAAGTATATCTGGTATAGTTACCCAATACTATTGATTAAGTAAGTTCCTAAAATCATTAAAATTACAATTTTAAAAAAAGGACAATTCAGAATAGATTTTTAGAAAAAAGAACTAAGACCTTATCTTCATAAAAAGAGATATGCATCTAAATGTAAAAAAGCTATATTTACACATCATATGAATTTAGAATAAATACCTGTTAAGGCAATAATGCTAGTAAGTTTTCTAGCTTTGTCAAAACTTCAAAACTACGTAATGTTAAAAAAATGTCTCCTTAAATTTTTTAACAAATAATTTGGAAAAGTTTCAAAAGATTTGTTAATGATTCTATTAGCATCGACTTCAGACTTTTTTGCAGAGATATTTTATCAAAAACTTATAATGTTTAACTTAGCACATTGTTTAGATAGTATTCCTTGAAAACAATTATTGTCCATAGTATGTAATTATTATCAAGTTTCAAGTTGAGCATCTTTCTTTTTTTTCTTTTTTTTTTTTTGTATTTGTTTATTAAGGTGCTCCCATTAGTCCTTATGGTCTTATCACAGAGAATTGCGAAAGAGCATTTAACGAGGAACTAAGGCCTCCTTCCTTACCATTGTTGCTTAATGAGCTTGAACCTTGGATCTCTGGGTTCTGAGCCAGTACTCTAACCACTGCACCATGGCTGGACTTGCATGCTTAAACAGTGGCTTCAGGTTTCTTCTACTTTTTAAAAAGAATCCACACGAGATTCTAGTAATTGTAAACCCATCTCAGACCTTGTTATAAATTTAAAATAGGTAACGTGTAAGTTTAAGGGGATATGAAACATTATAAAATTTTTTTAATTTTCTTTTTGTATTTAATAATATTAACTTATTTAAACTGTGGTTTACTAAATTATCTAAAAACATTGAAAAACTTAAAATAATTGTTATAGTAATGATACACATGTCAAAATTGTATATCACAAGCCTTATGTCAACCATTTTCTTTTTCTGTTCATAAAATATAATTGATTAAGAATTTTCAATTCTATTATTATTTCTTAAGTTTATATTTATGGTTTTATAAGTACCAATTATTTTTCATTGTTAAAAAGTCAGAGAGATATAAACTAAAAATTTTAAATATTGCAAGAATAAAACCTTCAGATTAAAGAACAAAATCTTTAGAATAAAAAGTAAAACCTTTGGAATGATTACAGCACAGTTGATATGCATTTATACTTGTGTTATAATTGTAATATATGTCCTTAAATAAAATAAACATTAGTTTTATTTACCTATAAAGGATCATCCATAAATTATGCAACGCTAAACTCATTTAAAAAATAGAAGTAGGAGATTATTTGCTCTTTTGCGCAGTGGTTTAATTGAACTTAAAGCGTTATTTTAATTTTTAGTTTTTATTAAAGACTCTCAAGGAAAAACTTTTGATCTTTTTTGTTTTGTCTATTAGTTAAATTTAGTGTTGACCCCTAACCTAATATACTTATATTATGCATATTTTTGTTATATAATTAGTTTATTAAAATTGTCTGCTATTGCCTGAAAATAAAATAATATTTGAGGTAATAGAAAACTAAAAGGAAGATATCTTTTTTCAAGAATGGAATATAGAAAAATTCTATTAATAAACAATGCAAAATGGTTGCTTGGTTATTAGGAAAAGTCTGTGTGCATATTTTTAACAAATCAAAATTTAAATTTAAATAATCTTTCATTATAAATTAATTTCTAAAGAAATTTTTGTGCACTTTTTGGATACTTTTTTTGGATACTAATTTTTTGAATAATAATTGGTTAATTACTTAAACCTAGTGTTTAAAAACAAATCATTTTTCTTTACTAGTAAATATATATTTAGACAAATATATATTTAAAATACTATAAATTCATTTCAAGCATACATACTTGTAATAAAAGTTTTATTTTAATTCACCTCCTCAAGGCCGAGAAGGCCACTACAGACGAGGAGGCTACTTATTTGTGGTTATAACCCTCTCACAACTCTATTACTCCGAAACACGAACCTTGACGAGCAAGGCTGCTGCGCGGAGAAACGAGTTGAGCGCGGTACTACCAGGGACGTGGTGGGGATCGAACTCGGAACCACTCGTTTATGAAGCGAGCGCTCTACCTCTACACCACTACCGCATAAACAAGATGTGGCCAATGTGAAAAACAAAATGTGAAAAACAAAATGTGGCCAATGTGAAAAATACCAATTATATAATAACAATTGGTTTTTTTATGTTTTGTTTATTCTTTTTTACATCTTTGTTAAAAAAAAGGATCTTGTTTAAAGTTTTTCTTTAGCAGCAAAAATTTAGAACAGATGAATAATATAGAATAAATTATATATTACATAAACATTTTGAATTTTTCATCTGAATTTATTCTGTTTGTAAATAATTATTTTTTATATAAGTTGAACATTTTAAAAGTTTTTGTTACAAAAACAATATTGTTATAAAAACTTTATCAAACTACTTGAACAATATTTTTAGGCTTTAAAAATGTGTTAGTTTGTAACTAATGAGTATTTTTTACATAAACATTTGTAACCATAACTAAAACAAACTTTTGTAGCCATAGCAGTTATTAAAATGTTAATTATTTCATTTATCAAACTGTTTAAAGATCTTTGATTAAAATTGAAAATCGAAAACCTAAGTAATTTTGCTTATTTTAAAAGTAACTTGATTTGGAAATTTACTAGAAACTTGTTATCTGAAACAAGTTTCCAGCAATTCCAAATCAAGTTACTTCAAAAATATGCAAATTTTTAAATATTAAAAATTAGAAGCTCTGCTTAAGTTTATCAATCATTTTTTTGATTAACAGTTATATTTATATTCAATGTTGTAATTTAAGTTGTGCAAACTATTTTATCAAGTTAATTTATAATATTTCCCCTTTATAACCTAATATTTATATCAATTAATTGTTTCTTAGAGTTATATACTTGAAATAACTTTGATGTTATTAATGTCAAAATATAAAGAGTTTCAAAATGTGAAGTAACTTTGAAATATACTTTTTTTCTTCTGTTTTTGTATAAAATATTAACATGTTTTTTGTTTTCTAGAAAGAGCATCTTTGTATCTCTGTGCTGAATTTACAAAAACTACTAAACGAAATTAAAAATAAAAATGAAGACATGGCTACTGCAAAACTATTAACAAACTCTAAGGTATCGTCATAGTTATTATGAGAATAATAATAATTATTATTATTGTCATGATCAAAACATCACTTTATTATGATAATTGCAATCATTATTATCGTTATTATTGTCATGATCAAAACATCACTTTATTATGATAATTGCAATCATTATCATCATTATTGTCATGATTTAAGCTTTTACTTAAATATATAATCAAAGTATGCTGTAAAAAAAAAATTTTTTTAGAATTTTTAAATATATATTTTTGTAACCAGCACATACAACATGATTTTTTTGTGGATGTGAAATTATACATATAACTTCAGAATTAGGCATCCAACACTTAGTATCTATATTATATTATAATATATATTATTTTTTCCGTATTCTGTTGTAAGTAATAAATATTAGATAAACATTAGATTGATTTTTATGATTTACTTAAACATTAGATATACTATATAAGATATAATTTTGTATTTTTTTTCTTAAACTAATTTATGGATGGTAAGCATTAGTTTCAAATAAATGATAAAATCAAGTGCAACTTAACTATTTATATTATTTATTAAATTTAACTATATATTCAAGTGCAACTATTTACTTATAGTCTATTATTTATTAAATTATTTAAATTTATAACTATTAAACTTAACTATTTAAATTTTGATATTTAAAGAAAACATAAAAACTCAAAAATTAAAAAAAAAAAAATTAAAGGAAGGAAAGAAGGGAGGAAAACTTCTGTTGCCGGCAGCAACAGTTGGCGGCAACTTTTATTTTGTTCACTAAGTAAATATTACTGTTTTAATGTTTTATTTAAAAATATTTTTAAAGAATTTATTATGTCATTATAAGTTATGAAATTTATGCTTTAAATGACGGTTTACATGGTGTTTTTGAGTGCGTAACCTGATAAAATATTGGAGAGATGAAGTATAAATTTTTTTTCCTGTAGTTCTAAAATAAAATATTATACTGTTAAACTTTATCTTATGAAGGGTGGTAAACTTTGATTTTACTCCAAAATTCAACTATTTACACTAATATTTTTTGAATAAAATTGGGTAAATAATGGATATCTTGAGCTAAGTCTTCAGATTGCTATTTTTGTGTTTCTGGAATAAAAATCTTTTGGGATTTCTAATACTAGAAAAATTCCCAGAATCATTATCAATGTATTAAAAATATCACAGATTGGTTCTTCACATTATCAATAAAGTGCTGAATCAGCATAAATTCAACTGACAATATCTCAAAAACCAATAAACTTTTACTTTTTTCTCAATTATTATTTTTTTATCGTGGGTTGCAAATAAAGTAAAAATCAATTCTGAGTGGTAGATGTGATGTGGATGAATATATATAGAATGATCTTCTGTCATACAATATAGTTACCACCATATAACATAGTTACTGTTCTATTACATAATAACACCGTTTTAGATGGTTGCCACATTGTTAAAATGTTATCACTGTATTACCATCATATTTAGGCAGAACTATCTAAGCTTAGAATATTGTACGAATCAAGTGAACGCGATAGACTTTCTGAACGAAAAGAGAAACTTTCAGTGATGCAAAACATGATTCAGTTAACCAAAAAGCTTTCAGATCTAGACAATGAACAAGAGTATAAAAAGGCAGAGGAATTTGCTAATATTAAGGTATTTCTTTCTTTTATGTTAACTTAAATTTTATTATCAATCAATTGATTATAAATGCTTATATAATAAAAGTTAATGATACGGTTTAATCCTAAATAATTTTCAATAAGTTTTTTTGTTAGAATTTTTTTTTTCTATAAAATTATATAAGGTTAATAAAGGTCTATAAAATTATATAAGGTTAATAATAGTTTCTATAAAATTATATAAGGTTAATAAAGGTCTATAAAATTATATAAGGTTAATAAAAAAAATATTTTTACA